ATTTCTGGGAGTTGAAGTCCAAGAACATCTGGGGGCCCAAGGTTGAGGACCACTGGGTTAGGTAACTGGCTATGGAGCCAGAGGAGTTCAGTTCCCCATTGTGCCTCTCAGAAGAGCCAGACTATGTGGCCTTAGGCAAGCTGCACAGTCACAGGATGTCTTCAGAAGAAGGGAATGGTAAATCCCTCTGAGTACTTTCTTCCTAGAAAATCCCAGAAAAGGTTACCATGCCAAAACTGACTGGATGGCACACATTATTATTACCATGCTAATTTCACTTCATTTTCCTGCTGAGCAGCTCATTTGTAAGAACCCTAACTTTGTCCCATTTAAGTGCTTGTCATTTAATGTGTGTAAACCACATTTTTCATGTTTTGTGTTAATATTCCTAGGCTTATATTGGTTCTGAAGTGATGTATGAAGACACTGCAATTTCCTCTGCTCCTCCTCCCTACACAGCCTATGCTGCACCATCTCCAGAGGTAGGTAGTGTAAAATGTGATCTGAAGAGAGATCAGTTGGAGCAATGGTAGAGAAATTAGAAGAAACCTTGAGGCCAAAGTCCTGTTGGTGACTTTGTGTAAGTTAAATTGCATAACAACACGGTAGTGAATTGCCACTAACCAACAAGGTGCCAGGATGAGACACAGTGGGATGGAGACATTTAGTTCTCTCTCTGCCTCCATATCTTACTGCAGGTGACATATTCCATTTCCTACCTGTGTTTATCCCCCTCTCTCTCTGCCTCCATATCTTACTGCAGGTGTTATATTCAATTTCCTACCTGCTTTAGCTCCCATGTGTTTATCCCCCTTTGATTTTTGGGCAAGCAAGTACTAAGACAGAGCAGCATCCTGTTGTTGATTCACATGTGCCTAAATTGAATTGGGTAATTAATGCACTGTGGCAAATTCTTCCTACCTAGTGAGCCACCTGTCATATTAAGAAGTACATATAAGTGTGTGCCTAATAATGTAACCGACACCTTGTTGGTTAGTGGCAATTTGCCACAATCAGTTATGCAACTTAACTTACACACATGTAAATCACCAACAAGATTCTGGCCTCAACATTTCTTCTAATTTCAATTCTTGGTGCCTACCACCTTACCACGAGTGATAGGTGTAATAATAGAATGCCTGTAAAGAAGGTTTCCTTGGTGAAAGTGTTTTTCCGTTGTTCTTTCTGTCATGATGGAATTCCAGGTCTTTTATAGAGTGATTGGTGGGGCCATAGATTGAGAACCACTGGGTTGGAGCAAGTTTTTTAAAGCTGCATCTTGGTAGTATGGACTGTTGTTGCACATGAAACTTGTGAATATTTTAGTTTGTCACAAAGAAATAGGCACTGTGTCAGACTTGAACTGGTGTTGTTGGAAAGCTCTCATTTGCTGGAGTTGTCCTGTAAATGCATTATCAAATCTTGCACAGCTGTTGTCTTTGCTGGAAGCCACATTAAGGTTTGCAATTTAAAATATTGAATTGCTGCACTTTAATTGAACTAGGAACCTTTGCTTTGGCACCTGTCTCCCTAACCCATGTTTGTAATTTCTTCAGGTTTATGGCTATCCACAGTATAATGGTGCATATCCACCTCCAGGTCCTCAGGTCATCTATACTTCTAGTGGACAGACATATGCAATCCCTTACCAATATCCAAACCAAGGTAAGGAATACCGGTTATTCTTCTCTGTTGAATTTTGCAGCTGGAATGGCATGCAATGTTTTTAAAAAGTAATTTCCAAAGAAGTAGCCATATTAGTCTGTGTCGGTATGTATGCAAAATTAAAGAGGGAGCAACGTTCCCTCTCAGGAACATTTTGCAGAGGTTCTGCTCCCTGTGCACCAGATTCTGGCCATGACTGGAAGTAAATGGGTGAAAACACCACCTCGGCTGCCCCCCATGCAGCGCTCTGTACCCACATAACTTAGAGAGATCATTGAGGGGGAGGGAAGAAAAGCAGGGTGAAGAAGCAAAGAGCAAAATCTTGTGACAGAGCAAAAACTAACTGGTATTTTTGAGTGTGAGCTTCTGTGGAACAAAATTTGCTTCTTCAGAAGAAGTTAATTTTGATCAACAAAGCTCACAGTGAAACAAATTAGTTTATATGGTGCCACAACACGTTGTCCTCCCCCTTTTCTTTTTTCTCCTTTAATTTCATCAACATAAAAAAGTAAATAAAGCATTATCTTACATTCTGATGAATGGTTATGGGGTAAAAGGTTAACCCTCTTTCTGGTAATAAAGACTGCATATATTTCCACTCCTTCCTCTCATCAGTTGTAAAACCAAGGCATGACTCAATCCGAAGAATAACCAAACACACACACCTCTTTTTAAATGAGGATTGAAAACTAAATAATAGAACTCTAATCTTCTAATGATACCTAATCTAATCTAATTTTAGAACTGCAGAGCTGGAAAGGAACCTATGGATCATCAAGTCCGGCCCCTGTCTAGGAAGCCCAGTGGGCAGTTGAACTCCCAACCTTTGGCTCTGCAGCCAGATAACTATAGCACTGATCTGTCTAGCAGTTCATACTCAGAAACATTAGAGGAAAAGCATATACTTGATGCTGTACTTATCAATAAGAGAGCTATTTAGCCTGCAGTCCTTGAAGCACCTACTTAGGAGTAAGTCCTGTTGAGATTAATGGGAGTTACTACTAAGTAGAAATAGATATCATTGCACTACTAACTATGACGTGCTTGTATTGAGAGTCCACTTGGTTTCAATGTTTTAGATGGTCATGGTCATAAAATAAAATGCGCCTTTGCATATGTAAATAATGGAGATTGAATTTTTTGTAACTCTGAAATATTAAATGCTGTTAATGTTCCAAGTGTGAATTCTCAACCCGATTAATCATATCACTCCCTACTTAAGCTCCTGTTACTATTAGAATATGTTGAAACTAAGATATTTGATCAATGGTTGTGTCTGAAGTCATGATAGTCTCAAACCTTTGTGTTACACAGCAGTTTCAATGCTTTATGAAGGTTGCTGTATTTGAACTTGCTCGGTCATCTATCTTTCATTTGCGCCTAAGTGGTTTGCATTTAGATGTGACTTTTCTGAGCTTCTAAAATGTGTTCTCAGGGATTTGGAATAAACCAGATTTTGCACAAAGAACATAATAACAGAATATAGCCAATATAGTTGTCAGTATTCACATTGCTTCTGTTTTGTATATATAAATGATGTCTGTTCAGGTTTTCCAGTATTAAAATCACTTGCCAAGAAAGGCACAGCCATTTAGACCATATACCCATAAACGTGTCTTCTCTTTTGTAAGGCATAATCTAGAATATGTTGGGTTCTTGTTATAAAGAGATCTAACAAAACCTTCCCCAGAGAATGAAAAGTGCAAGTTTAATTCACCTGTATATCTATCTGATGCTGCTTTTCTTTCCAGGTCCCTACGGACATCCTCCTGCAAATCATGTCATCATCCGAGAACGTTACCGAGATAATGATGGGGACCTGGCACTGGGCATGCTTGCTGGAGCAGCAACAGGAATGGCCCTAGGGTCATTGTTTTGGGTGTTCTAGGTTTCCTCTGGAGCCAAAAGTCGCGAAGGAGATCCCATATCTTCTATGTGCAATAATATATACATTTTCAAAATAATGAAGTTTAATCTATGGATTTTTAATACATTCTAGTAATACTTTTGCTAGTGACACACTGGAATTGTAGTTAACCAAATTCCTAACTATCCCAAAGGTGCACTTTAGTTGAAAAAAATGGTTAATCTAATGGCTTGTGGTCAGATGACTTTGTTATTCTATGCATTGTGCAGTAAGTCACAGTGATATCAATGAAGTGTTGCTGATAATGACTAAATGACCACCATTGACTTGTTTGTACTGTCAGATGGTAGCCATCTTGTTCAAATTACTTCAACTGCTGCTGCAGAATGTAATATGCAGTGCGGGGTAGCATAATAAAAACAAAGTTTTATTTCAGGATACTTGTTCTATTCTTAACACTCCTTGAAGATAAAGATGGTGGTTCAATAGACACTTCATGGCAACCCCTGGATGTTTTGTGTTCAAGAAGCAAGTGTTCATTTTTCAGTAGTTATTTGTATACTTACCTACCACAATACATACGTTTTTACTGTACAAGTTAATTGTAAAAGCTAAGCAATGAAGACTTGACATGTATCAACACATTTTGCACCCGCACATCACCTGTATAGGGAAGGCAGAAAAGTGTTTCCTCACCATGCAATCCATTCCTTGGTTCTAGAAACTGGAACTCCATGCATTTCTTAGTATATCTGTGTCTGAAAACAATGTTTAACATGTATTTTTTCTGGGTTCTGCCATTTTGGAATGGGAGGTAGAATCTATTGGTGAAGATAGTTCTGTTGGCCTATAACAAATCTATCCAATACTTATTAAATAGCTAGTGGAAAAATTATGACCACATGGGACATAAAAGTGTTCAGTGTGGGTTGTTACTGGTTTAGTTTTTTAGGGAGAATACAGCCTCCTATTAAACGACTATCTACATATCTCATATTTGACTACAAATTATCTTAAACAAGAGTTTCCACATCTGTGGCACAATACAGAGAAATGTGCTGTTGGTTGCTCAGACCATTACACTTGCAAAATCCAGTCTTGCTAACATGCTGCTTCTCAATCAGCTTCATTTTCTGTTTTTGGCTCGCATACACAGCTCTGTAAGAGGGTGACGAAATGAGCAAGCACTCCTGCAAAGAGATAATTACTTTTAGTCGTAGAGCGTGCCAAAGCTTCAATCTTAGTACTAAAAATGGATGCTTCTAAAGATTGACAATACATCTTGTGCTTGGGCATCCTTTTGAAATTGTAGATATGCGTGGACTTTTCGAAGTGTCTAGGGTAGGCTATGGTGCATTAATTGAGGAATGCTAGAGCTTTACAGCTATCTAGAAAGAGGATATGCGTGGACTTTTCGAAGTGTCTAGGCTACGGTGCATTAATTGAGAAATGGTAGAGCTTTACAGCCATCTAGAAAGATTTTGCTCTTGTCACTCGGAATTTTGGCAAGCACTAAGGCAACACATTTTGTTTCTCCAGAAATGCAACCATTGTGGGTACTGCAGCAGCAGGTGGTGGCAGTGGTAGGCTTATAAGCTTGTTGCAGACCTCCTAAGTAATCTTTACTGCAGAGATATTTGCTGACAGGGTCCATTTGTAAGAATGCTCTTAAACATTTCATATGATAGTACTGTGAACTAAAAAAGTATGAAGTGAAGATTCTTCTGTGCTTCATAGGTCTGTGTCCTTTATCTCATACCCAAATAAGTATGATTGAAGCCTTCGTGTGACTATGTGACTGATAACCTTATCATTTAATAAAAGTCAGTACTAGCTTCTCCTCTGATTTTTTTTTCTTTTGTAATCTGTCTAGAGCAATTTTAAGAGTCTGTCTCCTCTTTGCTGCTCTGTGTACTATGTTGAATTACCTTGAACTCTTCAATTTTTATGTATTTGTACTTTGTGGAGAAACGATAAAATAAACTTAGTCTTAAGACTACCAGTAAGTTAAACTTGTGTATCTCTCTTGTTTCTTGAAAACTAGCAAAGTTCAAATTTGTAGTAACCATTGGTCATATGAGCTGAAAATATGGGCTGTGTTTTCTCTTGCATTATTTGTCCATTGTAATACAAAGTTGTTTGGACACTGATTGGAAAGGACACACAAGATCTGTTATCTGTTGATAAAAGGTATCACTCGGTCTTGCACTGGGGACCACATGGCCTTTCTCTTGTTCTTTCCAGCTAAACCAAGTGGTGACCAGTATAGCAAATGGTCAGGGACAGTAAATAAGGCATGAAGTCCAGTAGCCAATTCATATGTTTTGCAAGCGCTAGAATAGTTGCTGCTGTAGCAAACGAAGAAGAGTCAATGACATCAGCAAAAAGGAGTTAATGCTGGGAATGAGTTGAATGATATTGGAAAACAGAATAGAGTTGGTGTCCGATTTACGGTACAAGGAATCAGGCCTTCTTGGCAGTGGCTCCCTCCATCTGGAATGCCCTCCTGCAGGAAGTGCACCAGGCTGCCTCCATACCTTTTAAAAAGCTTCTAAAAACAGGGTTCATCAGGGAAGCTTATGGGGAAGCTTATTTAAGTCAGAGAGGACGAGGAAGGAAAAAAAACCCAATATTATTAATGTTACTGCTGGTTATCCTGCAGCATTGTAGTCATTGTATGGGTATGGATATACTGTGTATATAATTACAATGACAATCAATCAATCAATCAATCAATCAATAAAATAAAATAAATTGTTGGTTATATTGTTTTGGTTACATTTTGTGTGATTTTATTATCTTTTGTGTGCTGTTGTATTCTCATGCCCAGAGTAGTCATTTCTGCTACCTGGATGATATAAACATCAAGTAAATAAATAAAATTTAGGGAGGAGCTGCCCTTTGTCCTTTTGCCCATAAACTGGGCTGCCCTCTAATCCACCAGCAAGAAGGGACACCAGCCACCACTGGCAGAGGATGTACTGTAGCTTGGAAATAATACATTAAGGACAATATGTAATGTAAATCATTTACACTTAGCCTTTAATTAAGGCCCACACCTACTACATTTTTGGCATAACAGATACTGAATTGTGACTCCTTGTTTTTGTCACTTTCTGTTCTCCCCTCTGATTGATGGCCTGAGGTTGGAGATGAGGAGCCGTTTAAAGCCCAGGTGGGTTTTCAAGAGCTTTGTTTTGCAGCCCTGGAAGGTCTTGCATGGAACAAGCTCTAGTGGATGGATAATTTTTCTTTTTTTAAAGTTATCAACATAATAAAAGTCTTATAGAAAGAGTGATGAGTCGGCATCAGGTTTTATGGAATGTAACCCACTTCTTCAGATGCACAGAGTATGGATATTTTTGTGTATACACTCAAAACACACACACACACACACACACACACACACACACACAGAGAGAGAGAGAGAGAGAGAGAGGATTAGGAAACTTTTTTGCAAGACCAAAACTATGGACTGCTTTCTGTTCTGATTAAGCAGAAATACTCATGTATATCATCTCTTGGGTGGAAAACAGCTGGAAAACTAAAATCACACAGTGCATTTGGATGCAATCAGAAAAATAAATGAAAGCAGAGAACTTGGAGTTAGGCTTTCCTGTTTAGATGATCGACACCGTAGAATGTGACCATCTGTTGATTAGTTGGAGAACTGATGTGATCCATGCCTTGCTTATAAATACGTGTATTTTCAGATCAGAGCCCTGGACATTGAATCGATTTAAAAGTAATGCATGGATATTATTGACAACATTCAGTTCTAGTTCAGACACTTTGTAATGCAAGCAATGTAGCACTGTGATATCTCACCCCTCCAACCATGGAGGCCACTTCGGATGTAACCTCAGTTTGGTAAAAAAACAAAGAGCTGATAAACATGTACCTATTTGTATAAAAAACAAAAAGTTATTAGAACAGGGAAAATCAGCTATGTAGAGGAGAGCTTAAAGAAGGCATGGGCATTCTATGTAAGCATGGAGATGATTTTAAAGCTACAAGTGGTGTCAAATCAAAGGTGACCATGCTGGAAAGGAAACCTATTTTCCTATTTATGTATATGGCTTTTCATCATATTATGTTAAGGCTAGTCAGCAGATCATAGTGCCAAAAGAATAGTTGGACATTATTTTACAGCGTGTCACTGTAGCGTTTCATTGATGCTAATTATTTTTAAAATAAAGCAACATGGAAATGTTAGAGGAGGATCAAAATTCCAAGTATTATGAAAAGTCATTCACCTTTACGTAGAACTTCACCTTGCTCCAGGTACAGACTATATAATACATGGAACAATGATGTGTTAGAAGATTCCATTGAATTAATGGTCATCTATATTTTGATATAGCTTGGGCCATTTTTGAATGGTATCAACTTGGCTTGCTAATCAGTACTCGTTTTTTAGATAAGAAACTAAGTAAGAGGAATTGAACCACTAGATGGCAGGCAAAATTAAGCAATGCCATCAACAGTACAGTATAGCACAAGTTTCAATAAGGTTTAATCTGGCTGCATTCTTGCTTTCATTTCACGTATTTAGCACAAACAAAGAGAAAACTCTTCACCAAGCAAAGAAAGCACAATATAATCTCACAATTCCTGGGGCTTAAGAATTCACATTAAAACCAATATAATACAATTATAGAGGAAGAGATAAATTATAGAGATTTTTTTAAAATACTATTTTGAAGTTATCATACAAACAGATGACAAGATGTAATTTTTTTAAGGAGCAGAAAATTATGTCGGATGTAACTGACACAGGAAATGTAAATTTGCAGATATGGAACGCCATTGTCTGAATATCAATTGAGTCTGGTCAAGTATAGCAGTCTAAATATAAACGAACAAAAGATAACACCTCATATGTCAGTTTTAATGCAGTGATGCACGTTTAGAAATACTGTAACTGAAATAGAAACATAACACTTTTCATTGTAGTGAAGAAGACTATTACCAGGTGACCTGTATGTCTGCTTTTGTTAGCGTCCACGTGCTAACTGCTGATGGGCAACTTCATATCTGGTTTCTTATATTCAGATTGGGTTTACATGACATCCCTTGCATGAGATAACATCTTCAAATAGAAGCCTATCCTCTGTAAGGTAGGAAATATGGCCATCCTAAAGGGGCTTTTCCCATGATCATTCTCAAAAGTTAAGAAAAACAGACCACTAGTATGTAATGAAACACCATTAAAGCATCTGTACCAAATAAGGAGACTACAAGGTCAAATGCCTAGATGTTGTTGTTATTGCTATCGCCATGATGATGATAATGATGAAATAGGGATCTGGCACTTCCCTTTGGCTGGCTAGCTCTTGAGCAGACAATTAAAACCCACTGGCTTTGGGAAAGAACTGTACCTAGAGAGGATGATAACTGCTGCTAGAACTGGTTTGTTTGTGTTGATCAACACAGCG